AACACACAAAATATCATAGTAGAAGAATAACTTCAAATCTAACAAGACAAAAATGTCAACAAAAAAACTATCTTCATGTTTTTAGCGAGAATTTTGGTTCATGTTTGCAGACCTATATTCATAAAAATATATTCAAAAAAATTGGAATAAAATTATAATGCATAATCCGCGCGTAGCGCGGATAAAGAATCTAGTTATACTTAAATTATATATATTTTGTTTCTGCAGCATCCAGTAGATTAAAACAAGAATTAGAAACATGAGAACTCTTATTTTTCAGAAAATAAATAAATTACTTATTTTATCAGACCTCCAAGAAAACACTAAACATTGCCAAGAAGATTGGTATAGAGAAGCTGGTTCCATGCATCAGGGACTCCAGGGAGGCACCAATGGCTACAGTCATTTAAGCTACTGCCTCCACCGGCATAGATCGACGGGTGACTATCTTTTCTCAGCTCCGTCATAGCCGTCACGTCTAGGAGACTCACCGGTTTAGCCATCCCTCGGATCACACTTTTCACTATATTCTCACCTTGGTTTGAGTGAGGGTAATTTGATCCATTCACTGGTTCCGTCTCTCCCAAGCAACTCTTCCCAGGTTCACCCCATTCAGTCCCACTTCAAATTAAGCATAGAAAAAAACAATAAGTATCTCAATAAAATAATTAGTTAACCATGATTTTTTGAGAGATAGCGATATAGACTAACTCTGCATGAACAGGAGAAACGCCTTGATAGAAAACCCTAGTTTTTGAAGGATCAATGTTTTCATCAACCCACTTAGCCCAAGTTTTTAAAGCAATCTTGAAAGCTTTCATTCTATCCATCTCTTTCACTACCTTGTCTCCCACTTGAAAATAGTTCCATCTACATCATTTAATCATCATTAGGTTAAGATAAATGATATGATTAGTTGAGTTCATGTAGATCATCATAATTAGTTAGTATTTACGTCTTAGCACGACCAGTGTGACTCCACCAGTGGAAAGTGTTGAAAATGACAACATCTGAACCCAACCATAGATTTCCGGTACTGATAGAATCTAGTTTCAATATCCGTCCTCCTGTTTTGTCCATTACCAAATCCACCAGGAACCCATTCTTCAGAAAATTTACAGATATTCCATATTCCTATAAGAATAAAGTATGAAATAATGAATTAATCGTTCTAGTTAACAGAATCCAATAACCAGGAATGAACCGGTTGAGTTACGTACCGGAATGGTGAACGTAGAGAGGAACTTATCGAGCTTGAAGTTATAGCTAGCGTTGGGAACGGCTGCGTGAAGCATGCAACTTAGCGATAACCACATATTTTTGCTCAGTGAATCTCCCACAAACAGTATTTTCTTTCCCTTGAATCTCGTCAAGAAATCTAGTCCGTTGAATCTACCACGTAATATTACATCAAATACCCAAACGTAAATCATGTTTCATGCATATAAAGTTTACATGGAATTCACAAAAAAAGAAAACAATCTACTTAACTATAAATCAGTTCTAAAAACGTTAAAAAAGAACATAAATGTCATTTTAGCCGGCAAATCTATTTTAAACAAAACGATTTTTTCTAAGACGATTTTCATTGACAGTGTCTAAACGTCTATGTAATCAACAGTCTCTTATAAACCGCATAATTACCGTCTATTGATTTTTTTTTATAAATTAAAAGTATTATTTTAAGGTATAAGTGAAAGTGATAATCACCTTGGGATGTCGCATCCGGTCGGTTTCCACCGGTAGTGGAGGTACTTCTTGTCCGGCCGACCAAACTTCTGGCAATCTAGTCCGATGAACGGACAAGTCGATGTTCCATAAAGAGGACTAGAAGAGTTGTCATAAATCCAATTCCCTTGGTAAATGTTGCACTTCGATGCCCCATTTACGTTGTGATTAGCATTAGCTTTTACATTACGATCTGATAAATCAACAAGAAAAACAAGAAGAAGGAGAAGTATGACCTGATGGAATTCCATTTTCTTTTCGTCTTCCTTTTTTATTAGAAGAGACGATGTAACATGATACTAGTAACGTATAGTATACTTAACAATTTATAGACATTAGTGCTCGTACGCGCATGATTGATACGGCTACGACATAAATAGTCAAATATCTATTATTGTGGGTAAGTAAAAACCTTTTGCTGAATACTTTATGCTCAAGAATTTAAAATTAAAAAAATGAAATATACGAGATTTATTGCCTACAGGGGAAGATCAGACCCAGCCCAAAGATAAATTATCATTATTTATTTATTGGTAAAATAGTAAATATTTCATATATAATATTATCATAAAAATTAAGATAGGACATAGAATTTATTTATTTATAATTAATAGAGATATGTTTATATTTATAATATATAAATATATAGATTATGTTATGTTTTTCTATAATAATGATATGTGTAATTATATAAATTATATTATATTTTAAATGTGAAATATTGTTCTTTAAAAAGTTAAAAATATTTAATCATAATTTTATTTTTAAAGATATATATTTGTTTTTTGATTATAAACCTTATTTTATATTATTACATTAAAATAAACAAATTATGTATATTTATTATTTAATTTTATATATTCTAATTACAAATGTTCTACCACAAACTTCATATGCTGAGCCAAAAACAATTGGATAGCATTAACATCATGTAAATGATTTTCTAAATGCTAATATAATAAATGTTGATTGGATGGATGATAAGGAGAATAATGATTAGTAGGTAATAATCTGTGCCTTGCGCGAAGAAGATACTAAGTCTGTTTAGTCAGGATATCGGTTCGATTTCAGATTGTTTTTTGTTTTGCTTTTTAATCTCCTAAAATATAACTATTATTCTTAATGCATATTTATTTTCTTTTTGTTCGGTTAAAATGTTTGATGTTTTTTTATTTTTCGGGGATAACCAAAAATTATTATTATTTGTTTGATTTCATGTTATATAAATTTTAGACACTCATGATGTTGAACCAATAGTTTCCTATTATAATTTTTAAAGGCATGAAAATCATATCAAATCTAAATAATAGTTGAAGAAAAGAAAATAAAATTATTATGATATATCATTTCACTATAATTTTATTGATGGTGAAAAGAAACATTACAAAAATATTTCAACTTCCAAGAGAATTAGAAACCTTACTTATGGTTAATAGTTAGTTATATAGTGGCTTACGTCAATGTGTACATATATGTGTATGTCAAAGTATATAAATATGGTGATAAATATATGAAGATATCGCTTAATTAACATTAAAAAAAATATTTTTTGTTCAAAATAACACATGATAGTGAAATTTTAAAAAATTAAATAAAATAAAATAATATAGAATTTTTAGTAAATTTTGTTCAAAATAACACATAATAGTGAATTTTAAAAAAAAAAATCTAGAAATTAGTAATTTTTCATATAAAAAATCAAAATTTATCTGTAAATAATAAAATAATATATATATTATAATGTGATCTCTTCACTCGGTATATGAATTCTGTATTTATCGATTTTTTGAATTTTTTCCTTTCAAAACTTTTCTAATTTCTGATTTTTTCTGTTAATTTGATTTTGTTTCTAATTTTTAGTCTGATATGAAAACTTTGTAAAACAATTATTGGCTAAACATGTGTTTCACCTTAGTTTCATTAATTTATAGCCAATTACAACTATTTGTTATGTTCGTGTATAGAAGCCTCAACCATGGTCAACTTTGGCAAGATACGAAACTTTTAATTTCTATAACTATTATCTCAATATTTTAGTTGATGTGAATATTAATGATTTTGTATTTTTTTGAATAATGATATAATTCATTAGTTTTATAGAGAGAAATTTAATTCACTAATACAAATGTTAAAAATGTAGGAAAAAAATGAATTAATTAAAAATTAGTATATAAACATATTAAATATGAATTGAAAAACTTATGTGTGAACGCATTATTTATCAAATGATTGTGAGGTTGATACGTCATCATCTTAAAGTTAAAACTCTTGTAAAATTGACACATATCAATTATTATGTAAACGCATTTATTATAATGATTTTTTTTAATATATATAAGGGATGTTAATGTTTTGCCAGTCAAACTTAGTTAACGAAAGGAATTGTAAATTGTATAGTCGAAACTTAATTTCAAACTATTAGAGTCTTTCAGATAAACTTAAATCTAGGATGGATTGGGACAACAGCTAAACAAACTTCCATTGAAGGTATATAATATCTTTTCATATGATTAATTGGGAATTTTAACTTACTTAAGGGTATTTTCAATCATGATACAGAATTTGATGTTGAAATTACACCAAATTTGGTGTTTTGGTATAAAATATTTTGGTTATTTCCAATCATGACATCAAATATTACACCAAAAATAATATTATATATTATTTGAAATTTTTAGTTTTAATATTTTGATATATTTATTATTCGTAATTGATAAATAATTATTTATCACACTTACCTATAATAATTATTGTTTTTTAATTTTTATGTTAATAAAATTTATACTTTTTTGGGTTTAAAAATATTATATTTTTTATTTTTTAATATATGATACTATATTATATTAAAATGTACAAACTAATAATTATAAAACCACATAACAGAATAATATATTTATTTTAATACTTTTTATTAAATAGTAATACAAGTTTAACTATATTATAAAATATTATAAAAACTAAAAAAGGTTATTTTAATATTTGGTAAATTTAATAGTATTACATAAAATTTTAATTATTTGTTGTTAAATCTAACTTAACAATAATTTAATATTATGAGTTGTTCATACTGATTAAACTTAATTAAATAGAGATTATAATCGATATTTCAAAATAAAAATATTTAAAAATATAACATATAAAAGTCCTTTGATATATTTTAAAAAAAATAAAATAAATGAGAAAAATAAATTATTTATTTTAAAAAATAAAATGATAATAATCAATTATTGATTTTTTAAAATAAAAATGTTTTCAGTTCTATAAAAATAATTAAAAATACAAATAATACAATATATATATATAATTACAAATTTGAACTAATTAATAATACTAATTGAACTAATTAATAATACTAATTGAACTATATTATTAAATGAAACATAATAAAATATACATATTAAGTATTCACCAAATTTGGTGTAACACTATTCACTCTACACCAAATTTGGTGGGCAATCTACACCAAATGTGGTGGGATTGCGTAATTTTTGTTGTCCAATAGGAGAAAACTTTTTGGTGTTTTTGGTATTCCATTAGAATTGGCCTTAGAGAAACTGTTAAAACCGTAGAGCATTATTGTTGAAACTAGATGCATAGTCTCCGCGCAAGCGCTGGGGTTGGATACGTTGTTGATGTGTTGTGTAGTTTTGTGTATGAGACTTTGCTGTTTTTTTTAAACATTTATTTATCTGGATTATCTATAATGGTGATGAATGAAACATTAGAAGTCACACAACTTGATTAGTCTGATAAAAGAATAAACATCGAATTTATATGGCTTGATATTTTCATATTTTATCTTCGTAGTGATTTTATCGAGCATTCCCTTTATTAGTGATTTTATTGAGCATTATTGTTATTAGTGCTTTCATGTAAAAAAATAATTTAATGGAGACAAGACAAAAAAATGACATGTGTTTATAAGTGTAATTTTCCTTCTGAAATTATGTTGTATATATATATATATTTTTTTAATTGTGATGTATATGAGATTTATGGCCGATCTGAATGGTTTTGGATAAATATTTATTATTGAAATATATGTTTTTATTTTATTTGATGATTATAACTGAATTGAAATGATATTGGAGGTTAGAACATGATAACCTTTCTTATAAATGTATCTAAGATGGTCTCATAAAGTTTCAAATTCTTAAGTTTCAAATTAAAAAAAAAAAAATTACATGCAAGCACTGTGTTTCGAATCTGCGCAATCGCGTACCAACTTCTTGTCACCGACTTACACCACTGGACCATTTCATCACTTATCAATAACATTCAGTTTTACAAAATTTTATATGTTTGTTTTCCCTAATAATACACACGGGGCCCATAAACTTGCTGACGTGGATACGCTGAGGAGCTTTGAAAAGTGTACTATTATTATATAAATTTTTTTCATAGTTATCTCAGAAGATAAGATAATAAAGTAAAAATAAAGTCTTAGGTATGATGGTTGCACGTGATAACAATCCATTTCGTTTTGTTTCCCATCCCAGTCTTTCATGAAACTTCAAGTTTACTTATTTTATTAGGTCTGAGTTCTTCGCTATCTTCCTAGTAGTTCATATATGAGTTATAGCCATTTCATTTCTTTTCGTTGTTATGATATTTCATACACAAGGGGGTTACAAAAGGCAGTGATAGGAAACAATCACAAGGGTCATTAGTTTAACAAATAAATGAATATGTAAAGCTGTGTTTCACTTTGAGCCTTATACATATGGAGAAATAAATTAAATATAAATTGAGGGCACATATTGAGAATGGTTTGGTTGGACTGGTTTTTCACTTACCTGGTACTTGAGTTTCCAAGAGTAAGCTCGAGGTCATCCGAGACGCTCTCTTCGTGTATCCTCTCACCTTCCCATGCTTTCACTAGCCCGTTTGTGTTACTCCCAAACGCAAACTCTGGAGGAGCCACAGCTTCAGACATTGGAACATCTGATGTCTGATCAGCAGTACCAGGAGTAATAGCCGGTGAACAAGTCCCGCTTTGACCTGGTGTCCACATTCTTGATCCACCTCCAAAAGGGTTTTGTGAGACGAGGCTGAACGTTGGAGAAGCGGGAACGCTTCTGAGTTGAATCCCTGAGAACCATTCAGAGTCAGGGACGGTCTGCCTCGTGGGACTGGGTGGTGTTGAAGAGACAAAGAAGGGGTTCATTGTCGGAGTACGAGCTGTGGGAGAGCTTAAAGGAGGGGTAACAGGAGCGCTTCTGGAGCCTCCAGGGATGTAGAGGTAATTAGGGAGTCTTGATGATGGTGAAGCTGATGAGGATGATGTTGTTGAGAGGTGTTTTAGCCATGGCATGAGTGATTGTCCATCTCCAAAAGTGATATTAGCGAAAGAAGAGGAAGATGGGCTCATGAAGTTTGAGGAGCCTGGACTAGGGTTGTAAGAAGCGCAAGGGCTTGGCTGATATGAGGAGCAAGGGCTCGCGGTTGCTGAACCACCACCTATGTCAATACGCTCTATTGGCCTACTAGATCCCTGAAAAAAAAAGACAAAACAAACTAATTAGAAAGAGATTATAAAGTTAATTAATGTGTTACATGTATTAATGATATATAAGGCCTAGAAATGAACTGAACTAGTTTCGGTTGTGTCAGTGTCAAAACTTAAAACAGCAAGTTAATTGCTTTCCACGTCAGCTAGGTCTAAAGAGTTAAGTACATAGACTTGAGCCAAGGAGGCACCTGACCCGACAGATTATCATTGGACTAGAATTCTTGAAACTTGAACATAGACTTGAGACAGTAAAGCAAAAGTGCTCACATGCTTTTCCAAGAAAATCTACAGCTCAAAACAGTACATTTTGAACTCTGTGCAGTGACATTTTTTTTATCACTTTTTTTATATAGAGATCTATGCTACTCTGCTTTTCTCTTTATTTGGTGGGTATCATCTGAGAATAAGACCTAGCAAAAAAGTGAATCATACAGTGAAAGAGATATAGAGAGAATCTACTTTTAGATAAACGCATTATAAAAAGTCACACAGAAAGAATCAAAACGTTTGACTAAACGCTCCTCTAACGCTAACTTGTGCACATGTACACGTTAGCAAATCTACGACCGATCACGGCGCATGTTAAGAAACTCAAAAAATGTTCCGACAAGACAAAAGTAAGATCCAAACCTTGCGGTAAGTAGTGCCATCTGGTTCGACGATCCAACCAGCCTCATTGCAAAGTGCTTTAAGCACTTCGTTGTTGTCACAATGCTTGGGAAGCTCGTAGTTCCCGTACATTCTCAACCCGGTGAAGATCTTCGCCGCGATTGCTCTCCGCCGTCTCTCTCTCCTCTTGTTGTTTTCCCTCTCCCTCCACGTCGGCATTCTCGTCCCTGACGTCATCACTCTGTTTCTTAGCAGATCAAAGAGACAATTCTCTACTCAGATCTTGCAAGAAAATATCAAAGACCTTAGTAGAACAAACAGATCGATACTTGTGTGCCTAAACTATCTCTGATAACCCAAAATTTCAAGAAGCTTAAGATAATCAAGAACGCTCGTGCTAGAGAAGAAGAGGTTAAATGCATTCATATTGATATAGGCATATTAGCTAAATGGCTACCCAATTTACCCAAGATTTGACCTTATATTTACGAAAATTACCACTACATGATTTCACGTAGGGACCTAGCACGTGGGAGCATATATCTCAATTCTCAACACGCGACTATGCCGTGATTTTTACCAAATTGCCACACGTGGAGCCGCGTTACCACGTGCGAGAGCTAACTTTTACACTCAGAATGTGACCTGATTCACGAAAACGCCACGATACCGTTTCGGAAGTTTCCTTTTTCACGTGATGGTGCGTCCCCCGGCCTGCTCATAATAATGTTGTTATTTTTTACATATTCGTAGGAACGACTCGGTGGCTCAATAGCCTCACGTGGCCGCCGCATTTGTGTGTCTCTTATCAGAACCTTCTCTCTCTGTTCAGACTGGTCGTTTTCGTTTCAAAGCTGTTTCTGTCCAGTATCAATGATTCAGCATAGAGACATAGAACTTGCCAGATCATCGGCGTTACAGATAACACCAAATAACGGTCTTTCTACAATTTTATAAAACTGGTTAATCATATAGATACTGAGATTTCATGGAATTGCAACTTCATTTGTAAAAACTCCATTTTCACTTATGAAAGCCTTTTCACCAAAAAAAAAACTCAATTTTCACTTAACGTTCATTAATTCTTTTACAAGAAAATATAAAATTTCTAATGCAGAATAAAACGAATGATTAGTGGAATTTTTTTTAAAGAATATCTTTAGCATGATTTACGTAAAACCATCAAACGATCGATTTTCATAAAACGGTTTAAGATATGTACCGTCAAACCATCAAACCATCAAACGATCGATTTTCATAAAACGGTCTAAAATAGAGGAAGTTGTAATTATGTATAAAATATTTTTCGTGATATGTAAGTAATATATAGGTGTTAAAATTTATTACATTTTTCCAAAAAAAAAAATATTTTTACATTTTTCATTCTTATTTTAAGAGGTTCCTCATTTTGGGCCCATTCTCTACATGCCCTAATCTAGTGCTACATGGCCATACTCTTGGCCCATCACGTTACACTGATTCTGCATGAAATGGTTTGTATGAAATCGTAGAAGAGCAGAAGCCAAAGTAGCCGTCATGATTACATCTCTTTTAGGGTTTTAACAATCGGTGTCTTCTGCCATGAACGTCTCGGAGTAAAAAGACCTTGGTCCCATCGACACGCAAGCCAACAAACGATCCAAGACCATTACTGAACGCGAAGAAAGCCCATGTCTGATCTAATCATAGAGATACTCTTGAGACTTCCATCTAAGTCTATAGCGAGATGTCGCTGCGTGACGAAACGATGGGCTTCCCTTCTCTGCCTCCCTTACTTCACGGAGCTGTTCTTGATCAAATCTTTTACTCGCCCACGGCTCTTGTTTGCCTACGAGATAGACGGTCATGTTCTCTTCTTCTCATCACCTCAGCCTCTAACTCTATACGAGAACTCGTCTCTTTTAACGACCAGTCACTGTCGTGTGAAAGTTCCATATTAGAATCATAGGCATGGCCGATCCGGAGCACAAGCGAGGTAAGCAACCATTTAGGACATCATGATTTTAAATGAAAATTTTAATTACATATATGACACTAAAAGAAATTTACATGAATAATAAGGGCATACAATTTAAATTGAACTTAGAGCATCAAGAAAAAAAATGAAAATGTTGGACCAGCACTGATCATAGGTTTCGTTATCCATGTGGTGTAAGGTTTAATTGTATCAAAAGTTTGGTGTTTCTCAGAGTTGAGCGTGTTTTAAAGGGATATGGACATGTGTCGGCGATATGTAACCCTAGTACAGGAAAAGCCTTGGTGTTGCCCAAAGTGAAGACAAGAAGGAATTCCTGTTGAGAAACAGTACAAGGTCTTGTCCATGACTTGGTTGTTTTATGGAAGACAATGGTTGGTCTCTGAGGAGCATCAAGTCCTGACACTAGGAAGCAAAGAACCTTCATGGAGAAAGATTGAATCCATACCGGCCTATACTCTTAATTACGAAAACAACCATGTATGCATCGATGGTGTTGTGTATTATCCAGCGCAGCGGTCTACAGGAGGGAACTTCATTATGGTCTGTTTCGATGTTCGGTCGGAGAAGTTTAGTTTTGTTAAAGACAGTTACACTCAGCTGTTTCAATGTGCAGTTTTGATAAACTATAATGGTAAGTTAGCTTCGGTTTGGGCTGATCAAGAAACTATTAGTGGAAGCTGTAGAAATATTAGGTTGCGAGTTATTGAAAATGCTGAGAAGGAGGAATGGTCGAAGCATATATACATGTTTCCTATTGTGTGGAGGAACATGGTTGAAGACACATTAGTACGCATTGTTGGAGTGACTAGGACAAATGAGGTTGTCTTTTCGTCAACACTTCTTCAGTGTCTTTTTTACTTCAATCTTGAGAGGTACACAGTCGTAAGAGTTGGGATCCAAGGAATGGAAGCGGTGAAGGATCCTCATATGTTCGTGTTTCAAGATCATGTAGAGGATGTGAAGCTTATGGATGTGTTTTAGTTAAAAGATCCTTTTTTTTTTCTTAATCTTATTGGTGAGACTATTTTCAATCTGTGATCTATTTGACTTATATATTCATTCCTTTGTGATTGGTGTCATCATTTAACTTGTTACTTGTATCACACACTATCTTCTTTCTTCTTAATTTGTGTTTGTTTCTGTCTCCTCCCATGCATTCCCATACTACCTCTATACTATACATGCAGCCAAAAGAGGATTGTATAAGTAAGAGACATTATTGACATTCCAATAATAGACATTGACATGATCATAAAACACACAGAGCTTCCATGCAACAAACTTGTACAAACACATTGTTTCATATATATGGCTGCTGGCTCCATTAGAACACTGTAGGCTGTAGCAGATGTTTTTATTACTATTATTTTTTTTCTAACCGTTTAACTTTTTTGGTATTGTAACTAAGAGCAATTTAAACCTCATTCTATTTCTCATCATAAAATTGAATTTGGAGTAAAATGATCCAATGGTATTATATTTAAGAGAGCTTATGGCTCTGCTGGTTTCCTCTTATTCGCTGCTTACTTCGTTATCGTAAGTGCACACTTAACTTGGAGCCAAATTGAATGAAAATGTAGATGAATTTCTTAGCTTGCTTTTATCGGTTAGTGTAGGGATTGTGAATCAGGTTAGCTGCTTGATTCTTGGAGACGTTAGAGAATGATTCATCATCCTTGTGTAAGAGCTTTTGTAATATGCAATGTATAGTCTTTGTATATTGAAATTAGATCGTCTGGTCATGTCAACAATATGAGAGATTAGGGATTGTGAATAGGTATGCAATAATATTTCAGGGGACAGCTGCAACAAAGGTTAAAATGTCAGAAAAGGAAGCACAAGGCGTGGCCGAGAAGAAAAAAAGGGTAGAAGAGGACCACGCTGTGTGATTGGTTCAAGCGCTGCTGGTTGTGTCTGCTTTTCTTTCGATATATTTAGTGGGGGGACGAGCTTTTTCGCAGCTTTTACGGCTTGGTTTCGTTTCCAGTTTCTGCACTAAAGTGTCTGATACAGTCTCGACTCTCGAGCGACATAGGGAAAGCTTATGGAAAAGCTACGTGAGTATGCTACTGTTATGGCTTGTGATACTTTGAATAAGTAGCTAAGATTTAGGTCAGTTTTCTGTCGAAAAATGTATCAATGAACTTGCGATAGCATAGCATGAATCCAGTTAACTACTGAAATGTTCTGCATGCATCTAGTCCCATCAGTAACTAGTGCAAATTTGCAGGTATTTAGCCACAACATTTAAGATTGTACCAAGAGGAACCGAGAGAGCTATGAGTGTTGAAGGAACATTAGCATCATTTTTTTCTTGCCTCTGTTGGCTGTTTCCTGGGTCAGGTAATAGACGTTATTAAAATATTGTTGTTGAGGAATGTGAAAGTATCTATGTTATTTTGTTTCAAAAATGTTCCCTTTCTATATCTTCTTTATGTTGAGAAACACTGTATATAAATGACTTTCTTCCTGTTACAAAATAAAAAAAAAAAAAAAATGACTTTCTTTCATATGGTATCCAAAAACTTTAGAGTGAATTAGCTCAAAATCATATAAGAAGTAACAAATTAGGTAAATGCCTATGACACAAAAATTGTGGGGACTTGGAAATGACTCAACATAGAGAAAATGTCAAAATTAACTTTATGTCTATTAAAAAAAAATCATGGCAACCGGTGAAAGTAAGTCATAAACTAAATAAAATAAGACTAATTAAGAGAAGTCGTAATGATGGCTTTCTCTCTCTCTCATAAAACCATCTTGGCTGATTTTTATCTCTCGTGTGTCTGGTTTCTCTTCCGATGAACAAAAGCTTCCTTAATGTTGTTTCTTCTGGTGTTTTTTGAATCATTGGGCTTCCAATGATTTTTTAGAGTTTCTTTTTCCCAAATATTTTCGGGTTTTGACTGTTATTTTTTTTTTAGTTTCTCTGAATCAATCTCGCTTTTGTATTAAAAAAGGTTTCAATCGGATCAAAATATTAGATCGATTTGTTTCATCTTATCCTCTCTGTTAGGGTTCAATCATCTTCAAGCTCCTTTATATTTTGAAAGATGATTCGATTTGCATGCAAGGCTTTGATACTTTTGTTTGCTTTTATTTGTTTAATTAGATTGGTTCTGGGTTTGATGTTTCTGAAGCATTTTTTTTTTTCGCCTGTGCTGAATCAAGCTATTGTTGAATCCAGATTCTCTCTTCCGCGTTTTCCTCTCTCCGGTATGTTTCCGGTGGAATACCGATTAGACCGTCTGGCGACTGGTTATCATTGGGTAAGTCAAGCTAATTTAGCGACAAGTTAGCGTGTTTTTTTCGTGATGTGGGTTTATGTTAGCAAGTAAAAATCTAATTAAAAAAGTAATGAAGCGCTAAAAGATTGTTAAATAGATTTTCTAGACTTTTTAGCATGTATATCGGAGATTATTGCATATGCTAAAAAGGTTATTGACAAACTAAAGGAAACTTTGCACTGATCTAAAACAGAAAGTGTGTTAAAAACGAAGATTGTTAGTTATGTTCGCATTGAATAAATTATTGTAAGTTATACAGTTTAGTGACTGTGTAACACTTTTTCTGTGCAGGGATAGCGTCAACTGCTAACGGTCCGACTAGGCACATTACACAAGAGGAAGCGCCCCAAATTGTTTGGGATGTTGGGATGAAGGGAGTGGTTCCCTCAGACATGAGTGAGGGGTAGTCCGTGGTGGTTCGGAATTTGAGACATTGGTATCTTAAGTAGTGGCGGCTGCAAGGTTTCGGAGTCGGATCTTCTTCGGAAGCCGGCGTTTGTGGCCGTGGTGCACTCCGTAGTAGGCTTGGTCTTGACGGCGATGGGTGAAGGAGCAAGCGTGAACAATTTTGCTCCGTGTAGTTGCGGTTATAATTCTCTTCTTTTAACATTTAATATCCCTTTCTGTTGAAATAAAAACGAAGAAGAGGTGGTTCTCAGAAAGTTAACAATCTAGGAGTGGATAGATAAAAATATTATTAGATACACTTATTATATTAATAGCTGGCAATAACAATATTGTACCCTGTTAAGATTTTCATTAGCATGTTAATTATATTAAAGGTTGTTTTAACATTTGTATTTGTTTGTATGCTCTGTTTGTAGCATAATCCAGTATTGGGATGTAAGCAGTGCGATACGTATCAATAAGTTATATTTAAATAAAATCCTCTCTTCATATAATGTTGTAGTTATATGAGTAAACAAGCCTTTTACAAATTACAATAAATTAAAATTAGTTGTGTATTTAAATAACAGAGGAGTTCTTTAAGAAAGTATGAAGTAAATTTCTAAAAAATATTATTATCTAGAGAAAATCTCCAGACTTTAGCTAAACATAATATTGGTTATCAATAATAAAAGAGAAGTGCCGGTGAAGAATTGCATTCAGACCCCTTGAAATCAGTTGAGAAGAACAACAAAAAACCACGAGATCCAAACTCTGATGCTTACAGTCGACCACAAATTATGAAGCTAGCTTTGACTAGTAAACAGAAAGGAATGGGGACAAGAAGCTAGCTTTGACTAGTAAACATAAAGGAATGGGGACAAGTAATGGGTTTGAGAGAAGAAAAGACACATCCTTTGAAGGGAGTATCACAGAGGGTGAGTACTGAAATATGTTGATTAGGAGTAAAAAGCTGGTCGTATCTTTGTGTTTAAAGTTTTTTTTTGGTTTTTTGTAATAAAGTGTCTATTTGCAGGGTTTCATCTTCGTTGGTCGGCTACTTATTGTGTTAGCTAGTCGGTTAGTTTTTGTGAAGGCTAAAAAATTTAGTAGCAGTCTAATAGACCTTGAACAATAGCAGTATCTACTTTATCTTTTCTCAGTGGAAGTTTAGCAATGTCTCCGATCGTTTTGGTTTGCTAATTTCACTTGTAACTGTTGGTGTCATGAAGTGTCTGTTGCAGGTTTGCATCTTTGTTAGTAAGTTACTTGGTGTGTTAGCCTGATAGTTTGTTTTTGTTGAGGCTAAACATTTTAGTAATGGACTTGGATGATAGCAGTATGTTAATTTTTCATCGTGGCTGTTGAAAAGGGGAGTTTAGCAAGTGTTCTGGTCGTTTTTGGTTTGTTAACTCCACTTGTAACAAAGAATCATTTCAAAAAAAACTCCACTTGTAACAGTTAAATATATATCAAGCCCCTAGGGAGTAGAACATAGACATAGATAGACCCGAACTCCGATGAAACGGAAATTGCTAGGTTACATGAAAAAAAAACACACCTAAACGACAAATCTAAAGCGAAGAACGAAGGAGGCAGAGCCTCCACCTTCGACAGACACCGACAGCCAGCGAATCATGTTATCCGGGACATCACTACAGCGGAGTGTCCATGACAGCCAATAAAACCATTAACCGGTGTACCTTCAAAGCTAAGCCATCTCAGAGGGGGCATGCCATAACGCCATAGGCAAAAAGAATACCTGACTCCCAAACTCTTCCGCCGTTGATTGAGAAGGCTCTCCACCTTCTCACAAGTCTGAAGAACCATGTGCTCCTCTTACGAAAGAAATCGCCTCCGGAAGAACCGCCATCTTCATGGATAGATCCGCCGTCAAGCGAGCACCTTTCAACAATAGAAACAATTTTTTAGGGATCTTAATGACTGACTTGCGGAATCAGCTGTACGCTCCACCTTCCTCAAACAGAGCCTCCGTCTACAACTGACGAGCCATCAGAACCCTTGAAGCTTTTCTAGAAATCTGCCGCACCACCCAAACGAATCAAAAAGAGAAATTGAGTCAGTTTTGATATTCTAAATTAAGGAGCAAATAGGGAAATTTTGATATATAAAAATCTCAACTTGCCGACACAAAAGTTTGAGGTTGCGTGTAGTATTGAATTATCAGAATATTAAAAAAAATAAAAAAGTAAACCAGATTACAGGAATAACAGGTAACCGGTTGTTGATGATCATACTTGATGAGGGCTAGAATTGTAAACCTCTTACCTTCTGACAGCCTCGAAAATGCAAATAGGGCATTCACCTAATTATCATATAAGTCTTGTGTGTACCATGCAAATACTCAAAACTTTATTGACTATATACCTCAGTAACTTCAGTAAATGTAAATAAATAAATAATTTTCTGAAACTTTAAGCAATAACATAACAAGAGTTGGATGACAAGAAGAGGAGTGGTGAGTCTTTTGAACACATTCCTTCTTGTCTCTTTTTTCTTTCTGACAAGTGCTTCTGTATAATGTTTTTTGCGTTACATAAAGAAATGTTTCTGGTGACTAGTTTTAATGTAAAAGCCTCTAGAGAGATAATCATAAGCATTGATTGTGATGTAAGGGAAGACTAGATTGAACCATTACTTCAGAGCTGCAGTTGTTAGAACCGTCTCCACCGCTGCCGTTTCTCACAACTCTGCTTAGGGGATGAACCGGTGTTATGAGTTGCAGAGGATATGTCCGGAACAAACACTGATTGATGGTTAAAATGTATAGGCCAGTGTAGACCAGAAGCTGTTGGTGGTGAATGAATCTGTGGAACCGCCCATGTTGTCTCACCTCCCACACAGTTACTATTATCTTCTCCATCTTCTTCCCCCGACCGCATCATCGAAGAACTGTCTGAATCTCCTGTTCTACTAGTATCCGCCTGCAAAGAAAAAAGATGAATCAATAAGACCAATCTTTACTTGTTAACACACACTCTATAAACTAACTGATTACCTTAGATGATCCATTGTTCTCCATGTATTCATAGCTCTGATCAAAGTCGGTTAATCCGAAAATCTCATCTATTTGCCACTGAGGAATGCTTCCATGAGCTGATCCACTGCTTGCCAAAGGAAGCTTTGTAGTAATGTGATCACTGACTTTGGTTTCAGGTAAACCCATCTGATGATGATTATCAAAGTCCATCTTCTGAGGCTCAGATGCAGGCAAGTTAAATGGTTTTGTCGCCTTGGTTTTATCATCATCATTGGATGGTGTAGAAGGACCTGTCTCCGTAGTAGATTCAAGACCAACTCTGATCCCAGTGAGAAGAAACCTCTGGTGAGCTGAAACATGAGGATTCACAGTGTGGATTGCTACATCACATTTCCTACATAGCAAAGCTCTATCTTGCAGACAAAAGAAGAATCCAGTAGCTTCCTGTCAAAAATACAAAATAAACTCTAAATAACTAAGAAACTGTTTCATGGAAAATACAATCATTGAATCAGTACATATCTCACAACGTATAATACCTAAAAAAAAGATTCGAATATTGAGATAAAAGAGAGATGAGTCAGACCTGACAAATGTCGCATTTGGGTATGGAAGAGGAAGAGACAGAGAGAGGGACTCTCTGGTGTTTTCCGGCGAGTTTGTTAGCGGCGTGAATTTTCTCATCGCATGCTAGACATAACGCAGCTTCATCTGCGCAACATAGCACCGCCGCTTCCGCCGTCTCGCACACGTTACACTGAATCTTCATCCTTTCTTTTATCTCCAGGTACCAAAATCTTGGAAACTATACAAAGTCTCAAGAAAACGAAACTTCTTCTCCTTTCCTAATTTTTTTGTTCGGTTGAGGATTACTGTCGGAGACTTCAGTTTTGTCTCCTCAAGGCTTTGTCTGAAAGGAGAATTTTTTGATAATATTTTCTAGTCAAACTGGATTTATTTATAATTTTTCTGACTAATAAAATTACAAATCTGTTCATTTGGATTCCAGATAAGTTATTTGGGGAAAATATCTTTAAATTCATAAAATAATAAATAGTGGCGGTAGGAAGATTTCTTTCTTTTTTTTTCTTTTGTCAACAGATTTCTTTCTAAAAAATAAATAAAGAGAATTGACAAAAAATAAAATAAAGAGAAAATAGAAAATATTTTTTCAGGCCGGTGAGTGAACAAGGGGAATACACGTTTAAGTGTCAGTAATTGAAGGAGACCATCTCTGCTGTGTCGAGCTGTAAATTAGCAAAGATTGTTCAGCTTTAGGTCCCAAAACCAAAGGCTGCTCCAAGCGTAACCAGTAATAGCTCATTTCTCCATCACTTAATTTCTTGAACTTCATGCTCAAAATATCTTTTGTTTGAAAATGATGACGGGGTCGATAATATCCAATCGTATCTATGTAAATTTAAGCTATTAAACCCAAAATTTGAGGATGAGAAGGGAAAATAAAATGTATTTAAATTAGGAGATATTTAAATGACATTGTTTATTTTCACAATTTTTTTAACAAGACAAATTATATAGGATGAAAGCGACACATCTTTTCGAAGTGGAATAATATCAATCTACCACTTCATTTTGACCACGTTTAGGAAGAATCTTTTTAATTTATTTCACTTATAAAAGTTTGTCCTGGTTCATGCATTCTAAAATCTACATAACAGCGAAATGTTCTGTTCAACAAATATCCCATCATATAATTATCAAGGTTATATTAATACACGTATGATTAACAGGAAGAGCATCAATCAATCATTAATAAGGTCCCATTTGAAAAAGATCTTACTCCAAAATACACAATTTGCACGGATAAAGAGAAAAATCTAGATGATATCGATATTATTTTCTCTTTATTCAAGAGGATCAGATGCATCCACGTTCTTGGTTCAAGAAAGATAGCTACTCCAATTAAACTTCTTCATGCATCAAAGGTTCAAGAATCAACGAATCTTTCGGACCAAAAGAACCTTTACCTCATCTATTGTACACAAGTGGTTCGAAAGTCTCTCTCATTGTACCAACAACTCTTAACTCTGTGAACAAACCTACCAAATCTAGTATCTTGATCTGATCTTAACTAAAGCCTTGAGACAAGGAACGTCTGAAAAAATGAAGATGTTGAGCGACCTTATAGACCGTATGAGTGTTTAGAACACCCCCATCAATGAACTCGTTTTTGAGGTTTATCTTTTCAATTTTTTATTATTAAATTTTTTCTTTTCTATTTTGATTTTAAAAAAAAAATTAGACCAATCGCGGATTGTCATGTGTCGTGGAGTCCACACTACATTGATGAACTTTACGAGAGAGGTTCAGCGCAGAGAGCTTTAGGAGAGAGGGTCCATAGGTTTTTGTTATTCTATTTTTTTTTTTTTTGATTTTCGTGTGGACTTCTCTAGTAAACTTTGGGATGCTCTTATGAGGCTCTCTGCTTGAAAAAACGTCAACAGTTTTGGGCCAAACTAAAAGTCTACCTAACTGGTGTAAACGCAAATTCGGCCCAGCTAAAGTAACTCAGTTACCCATAACTATATTATGAAAATAATAAAATGAAGAAAAAATCAAGAAAACAATATGAAGAAATATTTATTCTTTCCCCGATTTGATAAGAATAAACTTTTTTTTTGATAAAAAAATTGATAAGACAAGAATAATCTGTTATATAATTTCGTAAACATGATAAACAAGAAACTATATGTAAAATATGTAAATTTTAAGGAATGAAGAATTCACTATATTCAATTTTGTCACTTACTTAGAACCATAGATTTCAAGTGTAGTACTTTTGCATAGGATTACTACTAGCTCTTGGTGTTAAAATCTATTTCTCCCCTTTCTTCCTCCACAAGTCACCAAACATCTGCATCCCTGAACCTTTCCTCTTCCCACTTCCTGACCCATCATCCCAATCATCATCAGCCATCCCCGGTTATCCCACAAACCTGCCTGCGAAATGCTTCTCCGTCGAACCACACCTCTCTGAGAACCGACCATTCATTTCAACTCCTCCAGACAGAACCGCAGCTGCAGCATCTGCTGCTTTCTTCCATTGCTCGGTTTGCACTTTCAGCTTCTAGACTCTATTTTGCTCCTTCCACGGATTCAAGCTTCTTCTTTAGCTGTGCCGTGTTTTCATTACTTTTTTCTACATAATAGACAAATATAGTTATGTAGTCCGAATACCAGTTAACATCCATGGGTTTCAAAAGCAAGAACATATTATTTCAACTCAATAGTTTTCTTCTTAGTGATTAAGGGCATCTGAATTTCAATTAGATTTTTCAACCAAAAAATGCTTAAATCCAAGCAACCTTCTTATATTGGAAAGATGTTTGTTTACACTAAAGTTGATTTGAATTACACCATAAAGAAGTACAAAGAACACAAAACAAGAAAAACAAAGCATTAACTGATAAATTCCATGTCATCATTACAGAAACTGCGGCAGCAAAGGGAGTATTTTTTTTGCATATAATAAGCTTTCCATGCAAGTCACCTCACAGGAGCAGACGCATAGCCTTTGTGTAATATGCAAGTGCCCAAAGAGGGAAAATGTTCCTATAGTTTGAATAATTGATCATCACATTCATCTTGAACACTCCCATTATTTCCTACATTGTTGTAGCATCTAGAGTTATTTCATATCTGATTGAACTCTAAAATGGAAAAAAAAAAGAAGAAAAGATTTGAAACTCACCTCTTGCGGGAAACCGCCATCATCCAACTGTGAATTGATCAACACTTTAGCTGCCCGATGAACAGGCAAAGGGTCTCTCTCCATCTGACCAGCCATAATTAGACTCATCATTGCTAGTCCTGTATTAACCAAATTGGTCTTGTTTCCTTCCAAAGGAGTGTATTCCTTGTTAGGGCAAGAAAGGTAACTCTCTCCCCAACCACCTTCACTGTTTTGTGTCTCTATAAGAAAATTAGCTGCTCTACCTCTACGGATAGCATCACCGTTATGGTAAGTCTTGCCTGCAGCCGCTAGACCTCTTACCGCGAAAAAAGTTCCATACGTGAAACATACACCCCAGTTTCCGTACCACGAACCATCCGGCCTTTGAAAGCTTTCTATGTATTTCACACCGTTCTTGATAAACTTTTCGACCTCTTCTCTTCTGTGATCCGGAAACTGTTTCAAGAACCTAGCCAACACTACTATGGCTGAACCCGTACATTCAACATACCTAAAAGAAGATTCATATATCATATAGTTTAAGGCATATAGTCAAAATCCTTTCTCCAGTACTAAAAAGAGAAAAAAAAATATGGTAAAAGATAGTACTCATGCTCGACGATTGTGTCTTCCATAAACTCCACCGGACTGAGCCACTGCATTTGATTTTTAAGTTAACTTAAGAAAAAAAATACACAAGAGAAAAAACAAAGTATACGTACTTCTAGCCAGTTACTCCCACGGGCTGGCTCCCACCCTGTTATGCCTCCATTTTTGCTCTGTTCATATATATTTGTAAGCATATTAATCACTAGGTTCATTATGCATGTGTTGATTTGGTTAACTATGTTACCTGAAAATAGAGAAGCAAATTAACAGCATCATAGAGCCTCTCTAAGTCCATTTTTTCACCAATATACTCCGAGGGCATGCTTCCAAAGACAAGACAGCACTAGACCAGCCAACCACGGTTTTATTTTTGAATATCCACAAAGTTAATAGTTACTTAATTCTAAAATTTGAAAATTATTTTGTTTAAGGTTGCATTCGTTGTGAAAAGTTTTTTTTAATTGAATAAAATTTAACATTTTTCAAATAATAATATATAATAATAGTTTCTTAATTAAGAACTAATCATTCAATTCAAACCTCTAAACTCTCAGCAGTACAATCCGAAACAGGCCATCCTTGGTCTTGGTCCGAAAATGTCCATCCTCCTTTTGCAAGGTCTCTGAACATTTTCCTATGATCACCGGGGGGATTTTGTGTAAGCTGAGATTTTTTCAGGTAATCGTATCCTTTAATGAACGTTGATCTAATGATTTCATCATCATCATCGACATCATGAGAAGCTACGATGACTTGGAGTGAGAGTGTTGTATCCCACAGTTGGCTACCAAAAGACTGCACCAAGTAGCATATTTAAAGGGAAAATAGCATAAAAAACCTTCGAAGTGGCACTCACTAACACTTTAAACCTTGAACTTATTTAACTAGCATATTGAACATTCAACTTGACATTTGTATCACAAAAAACCTTCAACTTGGCTTACTTGTTCATCAAGTTTAAATTGTGACTTGTTAACCTACAATAGTAGGTCACATGTTTTTTTTTGTTTTTTTAATTAATAAATACAACTAACAATAAAAAACTAAATAAAATTAGAAAATTACAGAAAAAAATCTAAAACTGAATTTAATAAAAACCAAAATATCTTCTTAAAATTTAATTTTTTAACGTGTAAGTTTTCAAAAATATTTGTTTTAAAGTACAGAAAAATTCAAAAATCTTAATTTAAAAAAAAAAAAATCAAAATATTTTCTTAAGAATTTACAAGTGTTTTATTCTTATTCTAAATGAAATTTATTGATATATGAGTGTATATTTTTTATAAACTATATCATTACTATTAAAAGGGAATGAGTCTTTAAAAATATATCTATGAAAGTTTTTAGACCTTTTTTTAATATTTTGGTCTTCCCTTTATTTTCTCTAACCATACGACATTATTATTAATGGTCATATTAATAGCAACTAAAGCAATTTTATTATCCCATAATTATATTATGTATCTTACTAAGAATTTAATACCTTAATAGATTTTTTTTATTTTGTTAATAAAAACGACAACTATATGATGATTTTGATATGAACATTTTAACTCTTAATACAACTTTTTCAATATCAAAGATAACCTCTAACTCAGATTTATTTGTATTTATTATTATTAACTAAACATTTAAAAATCTTATCAGGCAAATGCTTTAAAATGTTATTCAAAAATAAGTAGTGTGGATATACCACTATTAAAAGGAGCACTTTTCTTCATATCAGAATTAATAATAATGTTTTGTAAGTTTTAAACGTTTAATTTTATTGATATCTTTAACGATGATAATTTCTTATATAAAAATAACAATGATTTTGACACTATTGTCACTAGCGATATAACCAAATATGTTATTCTTAATAATGATATGACAAAGNATTTTATTGATATCTTTAACGATGATAATTTCTTATATAAAAATAACAATGATTTTGACACTATTGTCACTAGCGATATAACCAAATATGTTATTCTTAATAATGATATGACAAAGAGTGTTCAAGATAATGGTGATAATGTTTAAAATTATTTAATTTTTTGTGAGAAAATTTAATAATTTTAGATGATTTTTTTTTTAAGTTTCTTTTTTGCAAAATTTTCAATTTAAAAACTTTGAACTTTTATGAAAATATTTTTTATTTTTATTGAATTCAATTTTAGAATTTTTTCTTTGATTTTCAAATTTTATTTAGGTTTTTAATTGTTAATTGCAATTATTAATTAAATAAAACAAAAAAACAACATGTGACCTACTATTGTAGGTTAACAAGTCACAATTTTAACTTGACGAACAAGTAAGCCAAGTTGAAGGTTTTTTGTGATACAAATGTCAAGTTGAATGTTCAATATGCCAGTCAAATAAGTTCAAGGTTTAAAGTGCTAGGTAGTGTCACTTTGAAGGTTTTTAATGCTATTTTCCCCATATTTAAAATGTCAACATTTTCGAGACAGTTGGAATTGATTTGTGAATCCAATATATATTATTATATATACAGAATCCGAGTAAAACTTTCTGATTTTTAAATCTAATATATTGATTTTGATTTACAAATCCAGAAGTTCTCCTAAAGATTGTGTCTTTGTATTTTTAACGAATAAATCTATTTAAATTAGTTCAAATTCATTGTAAAATCAAATACATTATTAAATCCATATGATTGAATACACACGAATTAAATTAAAATTGTAAAGCCTATAACAATTAACACATAATTTTAATATTACACTAATTAATATCACTTGATTTAGTTTGGATTTTCAAATCATCAAAATACTAAAACCAATATACCCATTTAGCTAAAACAAGAGTAAGAAAAATTACTAACCTGGATTTTTAAACCATCTTCACCAATCCATATGTAATCGGGCATTCGAGCAAGATGTTTTTTGAAATAATCACTTTCTGGGTCTTCTACCCAACAAGCAAGCATATGAAACGGCTAGAAATATCAAATAATTAAAAATTGACATCACTAGATGTCATTAGAATACAACTTCCTTTTAAGCAGAACCTTTTTTTTTATTATCATCATTTGTAAATAATACAAGTAACTGAAGAAAAAATTACCTTCGGCACACATCCACCTGTGATATATCGGCTGGCTTCATCTTGATAATGAAGGAGTTCCATTGTTGTTCCAAGAGCCCTTTTCCTGATGAGCTTGTTAAAAGGCCATCGACCTATGATATTCTCTGACATGATATGAACACTTTTCCAAAACAGTTCTTGTAAAATTGACTGCGGATAGTACAGATCTTCCTACATTATCATTGTTGGATTATGACTCAACTTGAAGAAGGAGAGACTTGGATGAGAGGAAGCAAAATAATAAAGAACTGACCAAGGATGACAAATACTCTAGCTTAGCAAGAAGGTTTCTAAAAGGAAAGCTTCTAGCTGTTCACAAGCAAGTAAAAAGCTACATTATTTCTTCAACTATACAACTCTGGTTCAATAAACTTTGAATAGACATGTCAATTAAGGGTCAAAGCCCAGAACCCGAATTTGTCCATTGTATAAATTACTCGGATTTGACTTAGTCATATGACTAAATGGACTTTTTTGAGTAAGCTCATTTGGACTATTCGTTTTAATCTATTTTGCTAAAAAACATTATCTTAATTTCAATCAATAAAAAAATAGTTTATGCGAACAAGATAATAACTTAAATCAAAATAATTAAAACATATTAAATTTATTTCCAATTAGTTTTTTCACTCCATATAAATATTTTACTAGAGTTCCATGCGTCATACGAAGAAATAGTAATATTTAAAACAATATGAATTTGATTATAAAATAAAATTTAATTTATATCTATATCTATATTGTGAAAACTGGATTACCTTTTGAAAATAACTTTTCATTTCATACGAAGAAATAATAATATTTAAAACAATATGAATTTGATTATAAAATAAAATTTAATTTATATCTATATCTATATTGTGAAAACTGTATTACCTTTTGAAAATAACTTTTCATTCTTCATAATTATTAGTTAATTAACTATAAATAATTTATTTTCTTAAATTATTCTCTAACCAAAATGTTCTTGAATCACTGTTTATAATAAAATTAAATAGAGTTATTTAAAAAGTAACATACAAACTTTAATATTATATATTCATGTATATTATTATTTCATTTAATATAAAAATATATACTATAAATGTTTTATTAAAATTTGACCAAAAAAATTTTAATAAACATATAAAATTATATTTAAATATATGTTAAATAACTTGATGATTATTATTATTATTCACACACACACATATATATATATATATATATATTTAATAATAAGGATATAATAATTTAACTAATTTAATATATTCTCAAAAATAAACATAGAAGAAAATATATTTGGCTTATAAAAACCTAAAGACATATCTATTTATTTTATTAAAACAGAAGTAAATTTTATTTGACATAAAAATATTTTGGAAGGATATATTTATTAATGTACATAAACATAATAACATATATTATAATATATAAATAAATACATTAAAATGATTAATGTAATTACAAATTAGTAATTAGCAAATATGTTATATCATTTTAATTGGTTTAGTATCCAACTACAATATATGCAACCAACAAATTACTTATAATTAAAAAATGTTGATATATCAAATTATATATTACAAATCAAAATTAAATATCCATATAGATGCGTATATGTGCAATTATGATATTCTTGTGCTATGAAGAATTGTATATTTATTTTTAAAAAAATAAAAATATGTGTGGATACACGGATCAAGCTCTAGGTATGCTTTAGCTTGTTTTCTTTTTGAAGCTCGTTTTTTGGGTATTCTTAAATGATTAACAAAGAGAGATAAATATCAAGAGAATGAAGTGTATAATCTGAGGTGTTTCCCGGTCATTATCAAATTTAAGGATCGAAAGATCCTAACAGGATGTATCGGTTCCTTAACACCATTAACTGGGCAAGTCGCTTGTGTTCTTTTATTCAAGTTTTGTAAGTGGTTCGTGAATTCTATCAATGGCGAATGTAGGTGTTTGATTCTCAACAGTCATCCTGAAATTTTATATTTGTGATCATTTATAAAGCTCAAGCCTAAATTTAACGACAGCATTTTGTACCTTTGCACACCGATTACGAGCTTGGCTCCAGATGATTTTGTCGTAAGGTTCAGGGTAAAGCTCTTCTCGAAGTTGTCGGGTGAGATGTGTTGGTGTAGCCACAAACTTTTTACCATACAAGTATGATACCCCCATGAAAATATCCCGGAGATATATCCAAAGAGAACCTGCTTCAAGAAAATCAAATAGGAAAATAGGCTTTGATGAAGATAAGTAACTTAATGTAACAAAATCATATATCGTTCCCAAGAAAAAAAAAAATCATATTAAAAACGCATATCATAGAACATGGCACCTCCGTTAAATGGTGAACAAGAAGGGAGCATCCACACTTCAGGCGGTATAGGTTTGCAACCGGACCAATCATACACTCCAAGGACCTATGTGAGCATAACAGTCACGAGACAATCAACTACTACAAATATTAAGGAATATAAACGCTAATAAATTCAAAGAAAGTAAGAAAACTTTAGAGAGCAAAACCGATTGAATCAAATACTCATTTTAGCGTTTGTATATTGAAAATGTGATGAATAATTTAAAATTTTTATACCATATTTATAAAACCTCAAAAACCTAATATTATTTTTACCTTTACCAAAATATCATTTTTCAACTAAAACTGGTTTTCATAAACCTGAAAGATATACAAGACTTCATCTGGTCCAACAGATATGTTTTTTACTGGTGTACAAATTAGATTTAAATCAATCTCAAATCAACAAAATCCTAAGTGGAAATTATAAAGGTGTGCAGAAAAAAGAATTCATAGCCAAAAGAATCAAACCAAAACCAAATCAAATTTATGTAAAAACGGTTTGGTTTCTTTATCTTAAAATTTATTCTGTGGATGCCATATAAATACCGATAGCCAAGCTTTTCCGATCAAGGGCGTATACGTAGCACCACCATGATCATTGATCCATTTACGAGCCCTTGCACAACTAACTCCTTTTTCATCGTTATAATCTGGTTCTACTCCCAAAATCCGTAGGCAGATATAGTTGATAACTGTACAGAACATAGCGCTACGGCCTTCTACGTGTAATCCCCACCCACCATCTTCATTCTACAAACCAAGTATAATTATAGCATCATTATGAAATATCTAATGAAGTAACTAATGTATTAAAATTTAAATTTTCAAAGATAAAAGAAAATTTGAAGCAATTAGAATGTGGCGGCAACAAGTAAATTAGTTCTTCCATATAAAGAGAGTCTCTCATCGATCTTTTTCTCTCATCATTTATATTTATTTATTTATTATTCAGTACTGATATAACTTTTGAGATACCATGGATGCATGTAGATATATCATAGATGTGGATGCTATTATATATCATAATCAAGAATCTATCTTCACAATGCACAAGTGCGTAATGATATATATATATATATATATACGAGTACCTGATGGTTGTACATGTAGCGCAATAACTCTTTGCGATGCTCCGTGGTCAGGGTTTTTTCCAGATGTCCAGTGATGTACAAGCATATGACCTATATATCAATATATAATAGTACATATCGTTTGTAATTACGTTATATATACATAAAAATAATAGAAGCAAAAAAAGACGAGTTTGATAGAGAGACTGAAGCTAGGGTAGCTCACAAAGGGAGCTTCGAAGAACAAGCAACCAGAATGTTCAGATGGCCAATGTCCATCCTCGGCTTGCAATGCCGTGAGATAGAGTATCCCTCTTCTCAGTGCCGTCTTCGCATCTTTGTACGTTATATTCTCGGGGTTCCCTATTTCCACTCGTGGAATCTTCTGCTCGAACTTATTTTCCCTCAGAAACTATTTAATTCCATCCAAGACAAAACAATTTAAAGCAAAAACTTGGCAATCCTCTAGCATTATAATTCTTTTAAAAAATTAGCACAAAAAAAAAGAAAAAAAATCCCTCAAAATAACATTCATTAAACAACAAAATGACTACACTACTCCAAACTTTAAATTTATCCTAACCACCTCCCTTAAATAATAAACTTATATCTTAAACAATAAACTCAAATATAAACTCAAATATAAAACAAGAAAAAAACTTTTATTTTAAAATTGAGAATTGTTTCTCTTGTGTGCTATTTTTGGAACAAGATTATGTTCTACTACTATTTCAAGTATTTCTTTTATATATTTTTCTTAACTATACCAAATATATCGTTACAAAATTTTATCATGTAATCTGGAGTTACTAGCTCTACTGGTAAAACCTTATGCCCTAAATGGCAAGGTCCGAAGTTCGGATTCATGGGAAAAAATTAACAACAACCTCTTGTCTCTGGCCTAAACAAAGATTATGAATTTTGGCTCGGAACTTCTTGCAGTAAAAAGTACTCCATAAATTATTATGCATAGTTAAAACCCTCACCTGCATTCGCCACAGGAGATCAGCACTGGTCTTGAAACGCGATCGAGTTACGAGGAAATTCCTACGAGCTTCATCAACCTCAGCGAGTTCCTCAAGGGAGCATGCACCAGCATCAAATTCCCAAGTTTGCCTTCCGGTGTAGTTGTTTGTGGTGAACAAGTGAGTCTCATCTACCGCTTTAGCGCCAATCCTCAGCCTCCACATATTGAATCAATCGTTTTAACTAATCAACAGGAACCTGATATCTAGATATCAACACTCGACCTTGTCTTAAATACTGGCAATACCATGTTTAATCTATTGAAATGATTGTATTTTTTTAAGTGCCATGTTTAGTTTTTTTAATTACAAAGAATCTTTCAATATTTAAAATTATCTTCCTATATTATGTTAGTGGTAAATGCTACATAGAAAAAAAAAATTGACATATTTATACAAAACAGACAAGCAACAAATGGTTTGCTCTCCGGTCATAAATTGTCAAATAAAAAGTGGTTCAACTAGTGCTAAACATTAGCAACTACTTTTAAACAGAGAAAATGCAAAGGAAATACATAGGAAAATGGTTGATTAGCTAAAGCATAGTTAAAGCATCGAATGATTAGCTAAAGCATAGTTAAATAAAAACGAATGATTAGCTAAAGCATAGTTAAAAGAAAACGAATGATTAGCTGCGCGCTCATAGATTGTCAAGCAAAATTGGTTCTGCGAATAGAGAAGAGCGAAGGAAACAAATAGAAAATGGTCATCAGTGGCATTTAATTTATGCCGGCCATTAGATCATCGGTTGGTGGAAATAAACATCATTATCATTAGATTTGATACGATTTGATATAACATTTTATTTATTATCTAGGAAAGCATATGGGGATTTACCACCTTTTTCATAAAGAATATATCCATATGTTCTCCTAAGATTTGATACATATCATTGTATTTATCATTAGATTTGATACATAACTCTTAAGAGAAATTTATATATTTCATCTATAATAAAAGTCTATCTATAGTATTATTTACAAAGTGACTTTTTACTTCTAAGTTCTTACATTAAAATTAGACTGAGTAAAGTCATCGTTACTTTTAGTGAATAGATTTATTATATATATTACATAGTTAACAATTAAATATAAATTGATTTTAACAAAGCTTTATCACAAAAAAAGAAAAAAATGTTTTGGACAAACACAAATTCAAGTATATTGTAGTAATATCCTAAATAACATTATTCTTTCAGTAAGATAATTTTTTTGAATGTAAGTTTAAGTTACGTATGTATTATCATATAGTATGTAATAAATTTTTAACTAATATTATTATCGTGACTAGACATACAAAATATTAAATCTTGTTTATATATATACATAGAGAGTGCATGTTACATTTCCGTATTCACATATAAGATATTTTGTATTTTAGTTTATCAAATTTTAAACTTTTATTCTAGATGAATAAATCTAATTAGTTACTGTTAATGATTTTTATGAACAACTATTTATATGTGCCCAAAAATATATTTTTAAAAAATTGCATTCTGAATAATTTTAAAAATAATACTCAGTAATTTGATAATCATCAATATCTAAAATAATACATATCGTATTATTATTTTAAAATTATCTCTAATTTTTTCATCGAGTTACAAGAAAGAGAATAGAATTCAGAATATAAAGTTTTTGAGACAATAAATCGATTTTTTATTTTGTAAAAAACTTGGTTATGTATAAAATTTAATGTTTCTTTTGTTGAATGTAGAATATTTTTTTTTATTTTGATGTTTTTGAATTAATTTGTAAGATAATTAAGTCTGCATTTGCAGATAAAACACTTTGTAAAATACAAAAAATGAGATTTTCTTTCAAAAAGTGGTATATTGAGAAACATTTTATCGACAATCATTTACTCATCCTACTATATATTAATTTAGAAGTCACTTTAGTGATTTTTTCTTAGGTGTCACTCATAAGTGAAATTTAAAATTAATTCTCTTAATTTGATTGGTTGTTGGTATTTGAATTTTTATTTATTTAAATAAAATTTTTAAAAGGAAACTAATCATAAAATTACATAATCTAATTTATGTTACCAAATAAACAATCAAGCATCTTAAATTTAAATGAATTAACGTTTTTTTTTGTTGAACCAATTGATTATCATAGATTACATTATAAAAAATATAATATAAAGATATATATAAATGCATATGATACTACATAAAAAATTATATAAACAATTTTAAATAAATTATATTTATAGTGGATACAATAAATCATAAGTTGTGGAAAACTAATAAACAGAAAATTAATAATATTTCTACTCACTATATACATATATTATAAAAATGTGTCAAATAAATTCAAAGCAATCAAATATATAATTTTAAAAAATTTCAGTCATTGTAATTGACAATGTGATATTATAGTTGAGTTATCACTTTTATAAATGACTAGGGTCTTTGTCCATGCTACGCGGATTATCTACTATAGGGTTTGATTTGTTTTGTTATTTATAATCTGTTTAGATATAAGAAAATTTTATATGTTATTTAACAAAAAAAAATCATTGAATTGATGTAAAAAACACAATCGTTCATGTTTAAAGTTCGTAGTACTTATCAAAGATCTTTTTATTTTTTTTAATAAATGCATGGCTAGGTGAGTAAATTTTGTTCTATCAAACAATTTTAGATGGGTTTAAAAATTTTCTTCTACATTTGAGCTGGTTATTATGTTTTTTATTATCTATATTAGTAAATATTATAAATTTAATTGTTTTGTGTTTAGTGTTTTATCTTCTCCATGCATTACACAATTACTTATGTGTTTAGCCTAACAATTTCACATCATATAGTTATATAATATTATTTATTTACTTACTACATATATCTTGTTTGAATTAATTGTTCTAGATAGATATTTCTCTTCGGTATCTGAAATTTTAAAATACACACATCAAGATGTTCCCTTTAGAAACATACGCTAACATATAGAACTGACACAACATGTTATATAAAAACAAAGACAATCAAATATTTGAAATAAGCATGCACAATAAATGGTAAACAAAGACGATAACAAAGACAATCTATTATTGAGGAAGAATAATATTATTGAGGAGGAGGAGGGCTTTATGGATTAGCACTACAAGAAATATGTACATTGTTAGCGTGAGAAATATGCTATAGTAGATGTTTGATAGCGAATTCATAAATGCTATGTATGCGGCAGCAATCATATGTATTCCCTTTATGATAGCATTTTTTTAAATGCTACGAAATATGCAGATACGATAGCAATACTCGAATGATGTCATAAACTTAACTATAGCACTTCGTTTTTGCTACAAATTAATAACGATTCAAATATTTGTGTTATGATAGATCATTCTATAATAAAATAAAATTAATTATAATTAAAAATAAAATAATTGAAAATTAAATCAAAAATTATTCTATAATTGAAAATAAAATAGATTTTATTTATAATAAAAATTGATTTACAAATTTATTGCGGTTTACAAAAATAAACCAAAAGTTAAAAATAAAATCAAACCAGTACAATTTCCCCTCTCTAGGTTTACACTAAACCAAAGTAAAAAAAAAAAAGCCTAAACCTAAAAAAAAAAGACTCCAGCAGCCTCATGTTTTGTCTTCTCTCCGACCTCCTCTTCACCTCCAGATCTATTCTCTAAGCCTCAAACTTGAGCTAAGAACAATCCAAAGTAACAGACTTTAACAGCTACAAATCCCACTACAATCCTACAACTACAAATCCCGCAAATCGTCGTAATCTTCCTCCAGCAAATCCAATGACCACCATATCATCTTCTTCAACTCCTTTATAAAGAACAAAGATAAAATTAAAACAAACAAAGATAAAATGAGAATAAAAACAGAGAGATAGAGGTTACACAGGAGGAGACGAGTAGTATAATACTGTGGTGACGAGGAGGACACGAGATGGACGGTGACAACGCTACGGTGGTGGTGGTGTATAGCGGACGCCGAGTTATCTTCACAGAGATGAGCAGAGAAGGGAGAGGATTAGATGAGCATAGAAGAGATTACATTAAAGGAGAAGAAAAACCAGATTTTTTTATGAGCAGAGATGAGCAGAGAAGGGAGAGGATTAGATGAGCATATGAGATCTGTCTGCAAACAGAAGTAAAGAGAGAGAGAGGAAGAAGCACACGTGACAGAAAAAAGAAAGAAAAGGAAGAAAAGAATTTGATCCCTTAGATTAGATTTCATCAAGGGTTGAGATTGGACTCTAGTTATCCTCACCAATGCTTCTCAGCCAATCACAGATAGAACAATAAAATAAGAGGAAATTAATATGGACCTTTGGATTAAGTTTAATCAATGGACGAAAATGAAGCCTTGTATAAAAAGATTATCCAACAAAAGAAAAGTATTTATGTTTTATTTTTTCTGTGTTATATCTGTTTTTTTTTTAATTGAAAGTTAGTTTATAGTTTTAAATCTAGTAAAGTTTACTGTTTCATTGTTATTTTATGGTTTATACTTTAGAGTTTTGAGGTTTAGATATAATATTAGATTTTAAAATATTCAATTTTGAGTTAAATTTTAGTATTTTTATGCTAAAATATGAAAATATTATATATAACTTTAAGTCTAGTATTTTGATTTAGAGTTTTTATGAGGTTAGGATTATAAGTTAGAATATGAAAATAGTTAAAAGTTTTAAAGTTTGTGTGTAGAGTTTAGTTTGAAGTTTAGTGTGTATGGATTATAAGGTTTTGGTGTAAAAGGGGTTTGGTTAAGGATAAGATTTAAGAATCAAGTTTGAAAAGATTAGATTTGTGCTTTTAAGATTTAGTGTTTTAAGTTTTAAATATAAGATTTGATGTGTAGTTTATGATTTGGGGTATAGGGTTTAGGTTTAGAGTTTATGGTTTGTAGTGTATATTTGGAGTTTAGATTTGTGCTCTAAAGTTAAATTTTGAAAATAATTAAATTTTGACCTTATAATTTAAGATTTTTAAGTTAAATTTTGAAAAATAAAGAGTGTTTAGGGTTTAAAATTTTGTACTTGTATTTTACACAGAATGTATAGTTTATATTTGAAGTAATGATTTAGGATATAGAGATTGATCAAAGATTAAGGATATGTGTTTAGGAAATTATAGTTTAAGATTAAAAAGATTAAATTTAAGTGTAATTTTAAGATTTGAAGTTATAATATGAAAAATTGGAGTTTTAAGGGTTGTGTTTAAAGTTCAGGGTTTAAAATCATGTTTAGGGGTTAAATAGCTTTCCTTGGCATTATAAAAATGCTATTATAAGTCTTTCATAGTTTTATTAATCCGCTTAAATAATATTTTTGGCGCTTATATCTAAATTTTCGCTAAGTATTGGCAAAACTGGTGATTTTATTTTCCCGCTCACGTAATTCTTAAAATAGCATTAATTAAGTGCTATTTTAGGTTTTTCTATTTCATAGCGTTTATTTAATGCTATCATATAATACATAAATTTCGAAATCATCTACAATAACAGTTCAGTAAAACGTGCTATAACAATGTGCTATCAATGTAGACTTTTTTTGTAGTGTAGGCGATTTGGAATTTATTTGTTGAACTAAATTAGGAAGAAGAATGGTGGGAGGTGAAACAAAATCATCAAAAAGAATTTAAGAATAGAAGTAAGATTGA